TGGGCGGCCGTGGCAGGCGGGGAACCGAGCGCTGGGCAAAGGAACCGTGCGCCGCGGCCTGGGCAGAGCTGTTTATTGAACGACCCCGCCTGCAGCGCGAGGATTGCGGGGCCTGGCCCGGCCCCTACTTCCTGCTCTCCTGGAAGAATTCGTTGTAGGCCATGCACAGGGTGGAGAGGAACACGGAGTACTCCTTGAAGTCGATTTCCTGGTCGCTGTTCGTGCGCCGCGGCCTGGGCAGAGCTGTTTATTGAACGACCCCGCCTGCAGCGCGAGGATTGCGGGGCCTGGCCCGGCCCCTACTTCCTGCTCTCCTGGAAGAATTCGTTGTAGGCCATGCACAGGGTGGAGAGGAACACGGAGTACTCCTTGAAGTCGATTTCCTGGTCGCTGTTCTTGTCCAGGCTCTTCATCAGCTGCTCAATGCCACCGTCCAGCCGCTGCAGGGAAGGGGGAGAGAAGCCAGGGTGATGGGCACAGCTGGCTGGGATGGGCCTGGCCCCGGGGCTGTTTCTCCTTCTGCTTTCCAGCAAGCTGGTGCAGGAGCAGGGCATGGTGTCACAGAGGCATCTTCCAGGGCCAGGCTGGCAGCACACAACCCACCTGACCCACAGGATGGGGGGCAACCTTGAAAAACACCCGTCCTGTCCCCCAATTCCCTGTAAATCTCTTTGCATTTTGAGAGTGAAAAACCCAACATTTTATGCAGGTTTTCAGAAAGCACCAAGGGTATGTCTACACTCGCGGCTTCTTGCACAAGAACCCACAGGGTGCGTCTGGACTGGCAAGATTTTGCACAAAAACTTGCCAGCTGTCTACACTGGCCACTTGAATTTGCACAAGAGCACTGACGATCTAATGTAAGAATTCAGTGCTTCTTGCACAAATACTTTGACGCTCCCACTTAGGGATAAGCCCTCTTATGCAAGAATACTTGTGCCAGAGGGCCAGTGTAGACAGGCACCTTAACTTTTTGCACAAGAAAGCCCGATGGCTAAAATGGCCATGGGAGCTTTCTTGCGCAAAAGCGCGTCTATATTTTGCTCAAAAGCATCTGTGCCTATCTAGATGCTCTTTTGCGGAAATAAACTTTTCTGTTAAAATTATTTCCGCAAAATCTTGCCAGTCTAGACGTAGCTCCGCCTGCTTTTGCACAAGGAAATTTACAGTATGGCGTGGGAAGAGAGAGCTCCTTGCACAAGAGCTATGCTCTTTTCTATCAGGTGTAAGCCCTCTTGCACAAGAGCTCTTGCACAAGAGGGCAGTGTGGACACCCAGCAAGGATTCCTTGCACAAGAAAGCCCTCTGGCTAAAATGGCCATTGGAGCTTTCTTGCATCAGAGAGCGTCCACAGTCCCACGGATGCTTTTGCACAAAAGCACAGCTCGCACATGGCAGTGTGGACATTTTGTTGCACAAGGGTTCTTGTGCAAGGTGTTCTTGCACAAGAAGCCACCAGTACAGACATAGCCCAAGAGAACAAGTGGGGGAGGGGGGGACATGAACCCCTTCCTTCCCCACAGCCCTCCAAAACTCACCTCCCCCAGCCCCAGCTCGTTCTTCACCAGCTCCTTCAGCTCCCTCTTGCTCAGGGTGAGCTTGTCGCCTTCCCGGCCTGAGTACTTGTGGAAGGTGCAGACCAAGGTGGCCAAGGCCTTCTCCAGGGGGGTGTCCATGGCGCACGGCCACATCTGTCTGGAAGAGAGAACAGCCCCCAGCCACAGCTGGGAGCCACGAGGCTCATGGGACAGCAAAGATGAAAACAGCTCAGACAACCCCAGTGCACCTCTGACTTTTCTATCAGGTGCGGAATAAATTTTGTTCTGTGCACTGATGCATGAGCAGCTGTGCACCACCCGTAGAAACACAGGCTGCCAGCTGTGGGCTCTGCTATCCAGCTGGGTGGCATTTGAATCTCCTCTGGGTGGCTGCCCAAGCGCCCAGCTCCCAGGGAACACTGGTAGGAGCTATGCAAGGCAGATGGGCCGTGCCCAGACAGCTGGGTGCTGGGTTCCCATTTGTTCTGTGCACTGATGCATGAGCAGCTGTGCACCACCCGTAGAAACACAGGCTGCCAGCTGTGGGCTCTGCTATCCAGCTGGGTGGCATTTGAATCTCCTCTGGGTGGCTGCCCAAGCGCCCAGCTCCCAGGGAACACTGGTAGGAGCTATGCAAGGCAGATGGGCCGTGCCCAGACAGCTGGGTGCTGGGTTCCCAGGGCACTTTCCGCCTTCCAAGTGCTGGCCAACCCGTGGGCCTGGCTGAGCTGGGGCCGTGCAGAGCGAGCGGCTGCGGGGTGGCT